TCAGAGCTACAGTAGCATTTGCTGACCATAACCAGGCTCCGAGGAACAGTGATAACATACATGCTTTATAAGCTACTATCTACATTACAGGTTGCAAAGTATCTTTGCCTTAAGAAGTTCAGAGGGTTCATGAAAGTTACTAAAGAAATATACTTACTGGATAGTTTTCTTTAAAGTTTTCTCTAGTTTCTTCACTTGATGTTTGTAAAGTTTTAACTCCTGTGCAGTTGGTCTGTTAGAAAGAAAAAGTACCATATTACATGTCTTGCATGTGAAGGTGTCTATAAAACTCAGCCAAGCAAAAAAGTAAGAAAGCTTTTGCCAGTGTCACAACATCATTCTGGAAATGAAATTCTGCAACATTTCTAGTGGCAACAGCAATAAAGAGCAAAATAACCATTAGCAGTTGTTGATAATAACAGCATAGGGAGGGCAGGTCGACTGTTGCTGCCCTATCTTACTTCTGTGGATCACTTTTAAAGGCAGATTTCATACTATTACAATTGCTGGTGCTTTCAGTTTCTTTCTTTGTAAAGCAAAGTCTACCAAAGTGCCCTTTCAAAGAATGATACTTATCCTTTCTCACCTTATTTCCAAATCTTTCTTGAGATTTATATTTTCAAGCAAAAGCTGTTCATTCCTGGCTTTTATTTCAATTAGTTGTTTCTGGAAAGACTGCAACATAGACACTGTTATTTCTTTCATTTCACTCATTCCATAATTAACAAGATTGAACACTTTAATGTATGTATGTGTTAAGAAGGGTTTCCATTTGCCTATACAGCACGACAGCATGGATAAGGGATTAGTTGAATAAGATCAAGAGCCTGCTGCATCAGACCACAGGTGGAGAACCTGTGATTAAGGACGTCGATGCGGTCCCCAGCAAGGACAACTTACAACAGAGTTCCGAATCTTTGCATAAAAGACAGTGAACCCCAACTTAAGAAGACATGATAAAGACAGAGATAAAAGTAAAAAGCACATATACATTTCTACATGGCTCTTGAAGGGTTACCATTTAGAGATCTGCACTGACTTATTCTTAGCAGTTCCATACCGTGAGCAGTGCTCTGTAATTAGGAGTAGCATCTAGATTTAAGAATTCTTCTTTATTTTTCACTTCTCTCTGTGCCTGGTCTTCATCTTTTTTGTATTGCCTATGGGGAAAACATAAATTGTTTCAGTTTACTGTAATACAATCACCTCAAAGATCTAGGTTGGTTCAGTTCACATGTATGATAAAATGTTTCCATAAACTGCAAAGTAAATAGAATAGAAATTCTGCCCTAAGATTCACTGCTCTTCTCTATTATTTCTGAGAAGCTGTTTCATATACTAATTCAGTGCACTTACTCCTTGAGAAAAATTCCAGTACAAGCAAATATCATTTCAGTTTTCAAGATAATAACCTCAAATTACAGGAATGTCTCAGGTATCTGCTTGTTCCTTTGTACCATATAGGCACTGTGATAGAGCTGAAAAGCTGGTATTCTTTTAGCTCAAGTGGCTAAATACCCCCAACTTCCTAGCTGGTCTGGCCTCCTGACTGAGCAGCTGCTTAGCCTGGCTGACAGTTATTCCCCAGATGAATCCAAACTTCCATGACCTTTACAATTCTTTGCTGTTTCTTACATGCTAGTGATGTCTGGAACACAGAGAATATTTACTATTATAAAATTTAAGAACAGTAGGGAGTAAGAAAATTGTCAACAGTGGAAGCACAAGGCATTAGATGAGACCTACCTTAGTTCCTTTTTCATTTGACTAATTTGAGATTCATAATAACCAATCAGACAAAGGGACCTGAAGAAAGGAAAAACAGTATTTTGAATTTCGGGTATTCTAAAAAAAAAATCATGCCTGAAAGGTACTGCAACCAACCCACAGGAACCTGCCAGCTTACACAACTGCACTGCACTTCAGAAGGGACTGCTTCAAATGGTGAGTGTTCTCTCATATCAAACAAATAGGGTCACAGTTGTCTCTACTTTTTTTGCTTTGGACATGAACTCTGTACTAGCGTAAAAGTGGTAAAATTATTTAAGGGGAGAAAAAAGCTGAATCCTCCTGACAGCCTTTTCATCTTGTGCCTATGTTTACCCAGCAAGCTTAACGGTGAGGCACAATCTCGAGTGCTAGGGCTCAGCGACCACTGCGGGAGAGCACAGGTCCCACACAGCCCGAGAACATCCATCTTCAAAGAAACTAAAAGTGCTCTCAAAGTAAGTGGTTGCAAAAAAAAGTGATCCACAAAAAACTGAACAGCTCAGAAACTGTCTTTCCCCTTGAGCACTCAGATTGTCTGTTTTGGAGAGACAGATGAGAAAGCACAGGGAACCAAACTGAGTGATCCTTCCTCTCACACAGTGAGGGCACAAGAAAAGCACTGTGCACACACAGTCCCTTCTAAATGCTTTCCTGGTAAACATTACTAGCCAGGCCTAGGAAACAAGGTGACATCGGCACAATAAAGGGATGGCTACCTGAGGCCTAAGAATTGGCAAATCTCTGATTACAGCAGAACTACAGAGATCTTACCACAAGAGACACAGGCTTGGAACACTTTTGGTATTTTCCCTAAAGTACCTGAGAAGCTTTACAGCAAACCTGCAGTCAGCAGTTGCAAAGACCACTTTCCAAAACTGGAAGGGTTTTTTTTGAGGGGTGTGGTGTTTGTTGTTTTTTGGTTGAGGTTTTTTTTTTTTTAATTTGCATTTTAAAAATGTTAGAATCCCAGGAGGAGATCACCTAATCAGTTCCAGAGTAGAGTGAACCATTCCCTTCTCTTTGCTGACACCTAGTGGTGGCTGCTTTTTAAAAAAATTTCTGCCATAGATTTATACACCTCACAATCTTTATACAAGAAAAAATTAATGCATTGATGTACCTTTACAAGAATTCATATTTCAGCTTGTGCTCCTAAGGCCTCCAGATTTCTTTTTCATATAAATATCAAGAACAGTCACTTTAAAATCAGTTTCTTAATTTAATGTAACTGGTTATTACCAATATAAGAAAATTGCTTACCGTTGACCTAGAAGAGACTTGGGAGCTGTTTTGCAAAACTGACAAAACATTTTGTTTTGAGTGGCAACACGCTGTTGCTCCTCCATCCCAACTTTGCACAGCTCCTTCTGCAAATGGGCAATAATCTCTTCCTGTTCCTGCAGCTTTTTTTGCTGCTGTTGGTATTTTGCCTGGGAACAGATAAGAGAAGCATTATGAAGTTATTCTAACCCACAAGCTGAAGATGGTACTGTACATGCCCAAGTAGGCACTTGGTCCCAAGGAGGCTTATTACCTGGGTTTTACCCATACTGAAGAAACAGTGGAAGAAGGATACAGGTATGTGTCTAGGTTATAACTACAAAATTCTGTAGAGATTGAAAAATCTTAGCTATAAACAGTGTACTAACTCTACGACTCAGGACTCATGTTTATTTTGATCAATGTAAATATTTCACAGCTTTTAAAAAAGTCAAAAGTTTGACTCCTCAGATAGCACTACCTGAATTACCTGTGAAACCTGTTGATCTTTTTGAAGTTCTTTGACCTGATTCTGTTGCTGGCAAACTCTAGCTATTGTCTCATCTTCCAGCTGACAAATTTTGGACTTAATGTTTTTCACCACATTTTCCAGATCATTAGCCCGTTGTTCCTGTCGAGATGCCCGACCACGTTCCTGTCGTATCTCATCTCTGAAGAAAATAAATAAATCCTTGCTTTAAGTTAAGCTCATTTCATTAGAGACAGTGAAGGAAGCACAGGCCTGAAAACATTATCTGATGACTCTCAGTCTGTGGCAGCAGGTACAGGAAATATGCTGGTATAGGAAAAAGTAGCAGATGAAATAATGGAAGAGGAATTAGGCCAACATTGTTGCATATTGGACAATAATCTCGGGAAAAAGCTCTTAGGCCTATGGTGTGACAAGAGCTCCACCTGGGAAGAGACGAACACTGATAATATTTTTGCTTTGCATTAGCAAGTAAGTTCCTTCCACTGCATCTCACCTGAGAGAGTGATTCACCTCCATAAGCCCCTGCATCATTTTCTGCTGTCGGTCCACATCTTCCACTAGCGTTTTTAATGCAAGTCTTATTCCCAGGGAAGACTGACTGTCTAAGACAATCATATCTGGAGATACAAAAAGTAAGCAAAGTCACAACAAAAGGCTTTTAATAGCTGAAGAGGATCACATCTCTGATACCATCTGGAAGTGACGATGGCTTTAGAGATGCCTTATGAACTTAAGCTTACTATTTCTAAATACAAAAATTTGTAAAACTAGCACTTCCTTACCTGATACATTTCTGCAGCTTTGGGAAGCAAAAAGAGTCACTGGTTTCAACCCATGACGCATTAGTAGCTTGTTTAAGTTTTCCCATTCTGCCTTCTCCTGCTGCAGCTGGGAGAAGGGGAAGAGACAGAAACCTGACTTCTCAAGATCAGCTCACAGCCTCCTGTCATTCCTGTTGTGCAGGCAGTAGAGAATAGCACATGCCCCCAGATAAAAACAAACAAACGCCAAACCCCCAAGAATCCCCAGCCACTACAGGAGGGCTTGTGAGAATTTTCAGTAGGATCTGAAAAAAATACTGAGAAAAAGCGTACTTAACAATATACGGAATACTTAGTTCTTCCTGATCACTATTAGAAATAACACACAGTGAGTAAAATTTACCTTTTAAAAAACCCAAATAACCGTCCCTCAGGTAACTCCAAGACACCGGGGGCGCAGCGGGCCTCGACCCCCTGCCCCAGCCCCGAGAGAAGCCCCCAGAGGGCGCGGGTGCCTGCTCTGGGGCTTTACTGTTTGGTTTCGTTCTGGTTTTAACTACCAAGCACTAACAACAGGCACCTCAGGTCCACCACGGTACCTCTGTCATGGCGAGGGGCGCCCGCTCTCGGGCCGCCGGGGAAGGGGC